GACAGTCATAAACAGTATCATGTAAGCCGGTGACCCCACTAAAATCCCATGCATCGTGCGGAGAAGCATCGCTTGACCACGATGAAACGCTCTCGCTATCAGATTGCTCTTCTTCTGATTCAGATTCTGTATCTTCTTACCACTCATCAACTTCTTCTTCAGTAGTCCCTTGCTCTTCGTCGTCCGAAACTATCAGGAGGTTGTGGAGTTGTAGAGTGTCTTCCACGTTTTCTTCTATTCCAGCCATTTTTATGTCTGTATAAGCGTTTGTTAAGACGTAACCTTTCTTATTTAGAACACTTGTGTATTAATCATTCTAGTAATCAACTTACTAAGTAGTCGCCTTCGACAAGTAGCTAGAAGTAGGTTTCACTCTCAAATTTTGAAATGGTTTTGAAAAGCGCGCCTCAAGGGACAGCGCGGGACATATGTGTCCCGCGGTCTCTGCATCCGCGAAATCGTGCCGGTCCCACACGGCCAAAAATGACCAAACGCGCGTTGTCGTCAACGTGTTAATTTAGTTTGAAGCAACTGCCTTCGAGTAGTAGTCCTCGCCCGCTCTTCCTATCCACCTCCTATCATTGAATCGGCTTCACCGCTTAGCGGATATAGCCAGGGAAAGTTTTTTGCAGGCATTTAAACAAATACTACAATACACATTCAGGATTGGAAACTTGGAGAAAGATCATCTCTCACCTGAATCCGTCGGCGCGGTAGTTGTTGCTGTGAGGATGAACCTGGAGCAGCATCGTCACGCAAATTTCGTTCTCGGTCATGATCACGAAAGTTTTGGGTTCGTTCTGACTTGTCGCGGTTGCCGTCGCGCTGCTGATAGGGCCGTTTATTTTGCCACTCGTCACGATTTCGATTGAAACGCCGTTGATCATAATTGTCACGATGACTCTGTAGCGAAGCAGTAAATTGTAAGCACCAGCAAGTTAATTCCAACACAGCTTACCTTTTGATAACCATAATCGTCCTGACCGCTCACCTGTCGCCGAGGCTGCTGCCGTTGGCCAACGTACCGATCCTGCAGATCCCTGTCTTGCTGGAGAGGAAGTGAAGAATGATCTCCATTAGGAGCCCTATGGCTTTCACAACTCCCGGTTTGGAAACCAGTAGCCGGATGCGGTGGTGGTATGATTTCCGGATGAGGAGCTACGGCTGTCTTAATGGGAAAATGATTTATTAAATGAATAGCAAGGAATGATGAGCGTATACTGACCAATTTCGGAGCAGTTTCTACGAGAGTACTCATATTTGGCTGCGAGGATGAGCCCTAAACCATAGTAAATAGAGAATCAATTCCAATTTCAAAGGTACAGCCGAGTAAAAACTGACTTCTCGGTGAGAAAATCGTAATGGAGCGACTTGCGGGCCATTGTGGGAGTTATAGCTAGAAGCAGATGACGATGAAGGAACTTGATGCTGTTGAAAGATGAATTGCGGTTCCGGCAGATTACAAGGGTTGAATTTCATTTGTTCATGATCAGCCTTGAGAACAAGAGCCAGCGTTTCCAGAAGATCCTAAACTGATCAGGCTTTGTTGAAAAGGCAACAAGTAAAGGCGCTTCGTTTACCTACATGCCCTGAAAATCCCAGATCTCAAAATGAAAAGCAACAAAAATTGTCAGCTGTGCGGCTCACACTATTCCTCTTACTGAGGAAACGAGACATGCCCAAGAAAAAACCAGAGTGTCATGGAACAAGATCGTCATTAAAATTCTGCATGGAGCCATAAGCAGAATACAACACGACCTACATATGAACACTATGATATCGTGCCCAGCCTGGACACGTTTAACATTTCCAAATGTGAGTTCCGGTTGAATTCAATAATTTTTCAGAAATAAATGCGAACCAGTGAAAATTGAGTTCAGCTTGATTTCAAAAATATCAATCAAGTATCAATATCAAAAGTTCTACTTGGAAATGATCTCAGGAATTCAAAAACCCACTAGGTCCTCCTTCTGTGGATTAATCAGAAGTTGTGGTTTGTGGATCGCAGCAAGGAAGTAGGACATTACCTTGAACCGTAGCTGCATCAGACGTTTCATGTCCTGCACAAAGCATCAGCTTATGAGATATGTAGAAAAGGAAACAACAGCAATATTGAGAATAGCAACCCACTGAATAAGTTGCTCGAACACCGATCCAATGCTCTATAGGGTACACAACGTCTCGTGGGCCTTCTTCATCTACGTCACCTTCGTCCCCCGAGTCCGGGTTAGCTAGAAATTGAGAAAGTTGGTTAGCAACTTAATTTAATCACTCCCAGAAAATTACTTATGTCGAAGTTTTGTATTGTACTCTTCTTCAGCCGCATCGATCCAGCAAACAACACAACGGCACAAGGTGGGACGACAGTAACTGTGCGCAACTGAAAACATGGTTTCAACATAACCATTAGTTAAACTCCTGCTGACAATTTCAGTAGCCTGTGATTATGTTGACGTGATACTTTGACTTGATAACTATGCTCATTCATTCATTGTTCCAGCCTATCCTAACATTCGCAAGATAGTAGAATTAGAACTTTCTTCACAGAAATAATCCATTATGACAAGGCACCTGTTTTTTGCAAACACTCGGCCTATTTTGACTATTTCTTCGAGTGGCAACTTCTTCATATAGAGACCATTATGCTACTGTTATGGCGTACTATCATATGTATGCACAAGGGTCTCAGACTGGACACAGTCCAGTTCAATCAAGCATCTATCATTTCGTGGTCTGTTGAATGATGTTAGAGTCATCTGAAGCATGAATTACTGACTTGCATATTTGCCTATCACTGCATACAATTGTATTTGTATATATGTCTTGCCGATTAATACGTCTCTACGATTTTATCGGGTGGTGACTGCAGGGGCGCAACTCGAGTATTAGAGACTCGAAAGGGAATCATATCGCTCTTTAGAGCACATTAACCACATTAACCCTTTGACGACCATGGCACCCGCCTGTGAGTGCCACTACGACTGGCGTAAAGATATTGCAATAGAAGGGTAAATTCATGGGACCATGACACCTAACGTTGGGTGCCACCATGTTCTTTCCTTTATTTATTATTTTCATATTTATTAAAAAACTCCATGGTATTTATATTCAACATGGTCCACGTGAATGTTTTGTAGGAGCTTATTTATCACAAACATATTTAGTCAATGGAGTAGTACTGAAAAGGTTTAGATACTTTGGCAAGATTTGTGTGTGTCCTGGAAGCATCGGAGGCAGTACTTAGAATACATGATTTGCGATTATGTGACCGCGCGGTCGATCTCTTCATTCTGAATTTTCTTGGATGTTATACGAATTCCTACTGCTTACATTATTATCAAAACTCTAACCTACATTGCTTCTAAACCTGAATGCAATTCTAAGCCTCAGTTTTATGTAAGATAAAACAAGATCTGATGCTTCTGTTACGCGGAAATATTGCTAACAAGGGAAGGATCCCAAGTCGAAGTGGCCATTCGAAATAAGACCTACACTGCCAGACGTACTTTTTGATGCTGATTTCAAATCTGCATTCAAAATCTGCCAAACGATTC